ACACGCACCTGCACTTTGATTCTGATGAATGATGACACATTAATACACTACGACGTCTATAAAATAATGCACTACATTTTCTAAAAACTATCACTGTATTTAAATTTTAATAAATGTGACAACTCTATCTAATGGTGCATTGAATTTCAATAAACACATTGCATGATTATTCACCACACCACACTATGCTTTACTTCGAATCCACCACATTTTTATAAATGAAAGCATTGTTAATATCCATAAAAAAAATAGACAGCAAAACTTGCTAAAATACTTAGTATACGTCTAAACAATAAGTCATTTGTGAAAGAATCCTAGAATATATGTATGAAAAAAACTTAAATCCCTCTTGTCATAGAAATCCTTAGACGGACATCAACATTGAGACTTGTTGTCTCAAATATAGTTGTATATATACATTAAGCTCTACATTATTTGCACATTACTCTAACATATTTAGTGAAGCGTGGCTTCTACTTTTGTGCTTATTATTTTTATTAATTACAATAAAAATACTGACGTAGATTATTTATTGTAAACGAAAGTAAATAACAGTGAAAGGATGAGACAATTAATGAATATATTCTTCTTTTAAATTAACAAGACTAGTAATATTTATCAAGAACTGTATCGAATAAAATACAGTTAGAATGTTTTTGAATGCTTCTAGTAATTTTGCAAATTTATGTTTTGTTGACGTTAAGCGGTTGTATTTTCAAATTTACTGGCTTCTGCTTGCGTTAAAAGGAATGTTTCTGCTTATAGGACTCATATTCTATTAGAGTATTCTTTTTGTATAGGTAGAAGAACGTAACAGACATATCTCATAATTTAAAAAAATAGCATACAACCATTGAAACTGTCATAACGTACACCATGAACGCATTACATAAAGTAAAATATTGGCAAAGACTATGTGTGTGTGTGAACACTTAGTTACCTACTATATATAATCGGACAAATAAGTGGGGGTTACGACTATATATTCATATTATATCAATAATCCGAACTATTCGATCGACTTGTGCCGGAATTGGTAATGTAATATATTTTTGGGTTTCAAATAAAATACAGTTTTAAAGTCATAACATATACACACGCCTTCTACAATGTACGATACTTCTTGTCCTTTTCTTTGGGAAATTCTTGGTAATAAATCATCTTCATCATATGGAGATTTTGAAAGTATTTTTATAGTTTTTGTCACTATTGGGTAAATGTGGACTACAATAACGAGAGCTAGCGATCACTTTGTAGTTTCATAGTACACTTGTACTGCGACTACTTGCCCGAGTTACAGCAGTGTAAGTTGTAACATTTAAAAGTCCATTTGGATTATATAAAGTCATAAATATTTAATCAACTATGAAACTATTTAATTCTATTAATACTAATATTATATGATATTGTAATCCGATTTGGACGACTAATTTGAACAAAGAATGGTCATTATTAATAAATATTTTCATCAAGATAGACTTGGTTTGCGTAACAAGTTTAGCTCTGTCACACCATTTCTACCTTCTTGTGGATAGTGATGATGAATATGTGATAATTTATTTTGTGTATTATGAATAGTTTTCGCACGCTAATTACATTTATTTTTATCTAGTTTTACATTTTTAAGATTTTCATTTATCATTTTTATATACAAATAATAATTAAATATCACTTGAATGCAGTTTTGAACTCCTAGAATATCATTGTACACTGCAGAATCAGAGGTTGTTTGTAAAGCTAAACTTGTTATTATTTTGTTACAGTAATAACCTTACAAAACGATAGGAAATATGTTACTAAAGAAATCGTCGAACAAGTGCTAATAAACAATATGAGTTTGTTCGTTGACTTGCGACAAATCAAGTCATCTGTAACAAATCTTTCAGATATGGTTGATAAAATATCTTCTTCTACACGCCCAAGGGAGACACTAAGAGAAGAACTCCCAAAAAAAGAACACTCCATGTCGTACGGTAGTTCAATGTATAAACCAACAACTTTAGGGTTTGGAGTTCGATTCTCTAGTCAAGAGGATATTTACAAAGACATGCCGTCGTCGAGGTTACGGAGCCATATGTCCCTACCCAACTTAGGGAAAACAGATTCGAGTTACGATAGACCTGGCACATCTAGGCAAAGTGATCGTCCTAAAATTGTGGAAGTAGACGAAAAATTTGATAACAATGGCAAGTCAACCATACATTTGTCTTCGGAAAGCCTCAGTGATTTAATAGTTGCCTCGATAAATAGACGTCCTCATTTTGATGATAAGGGAGACACCCATCCGAGGGATTTCATCGAAAGTGTACAGTATTTTATTTCAGAGCTAAAAATAGCCCCAGAGAAACAATTACCTTTTATAATATCCTGTTTGGAAGGAGTACCGCTTATGTGGGCCCGTTGCTTTAGAAGCGAATTTAAAGATGTAAATAGTTTTTATGAAACGTTCGAACAAGAATTTTGGGGTGCTGATAGACAAAAGTCAGTGTTATACGACATGAAGCTTGGAAAATACGACGAGACTTGTTCCCATATGAGTATGTCAGAGTATTTCTTACACAAAGTTTCTAATTATAGACATTTGAACCCTCCGCCGTCAGATTTAGAAATAGTATACTCATTGGCGGCTCATTTCCCGTCTGCCGTAGAGTTGGAGCTCCGATTGGCACCAAAGCCTTCCCTGCGGGAAGCGTATCGTATGCTTCGCCGGAGAGAAGGCGAGAATGCTGACTTCCTTCCCAATTACTTATACGAAATGTGTGAAGCATTTCAACGTGGCTCGAGACCAACATCTGCGCGACGTCCTGAATCGTTGCCATCGGTATCCAAAAACTAATAAAGGAGCAATACATATCTATAATAAAATTAAATTAAAATTAGTTATATAATTACCAATAGTATGGCTAGAAAATTGTTATAATCTTAAAACTAGTCGTAATTGAATAGCTACAATTACTGGCTAAAAATGGGTCTCTTGGTGGAGATTTAATAAGTCGTTGTGGAAATTTACAAATAAAAATGTAATAATAATATTTATTTTATAAACTGCCAGTCAAGTTAGACTTTGTATAAAATCTATTTCTAATCTATTGCTGCCGCCAAAAGGTTTGTATAGTAAATTGTGTTAGATTTGAGTGAAATCAGGCAGAAAAATTACCTGTTCTTCTCATCTTGACATGTTATTTTAGTCCTCAGGAGTGGTAATGCATGAGAGCGTGATGGTGTTCATATACTACTTACATATAAGAGACTGTTAATAGTTAACACCAGTTTGTTGTATTTATATAATTGAAAACAAGGAAAAGCATAACCACTTTTCCTTGTTTTCAATTACATAAATAAAAATGTTCCGTATTCAATTATAACTCAATAGTTTATCAATTAACATTAATTTTAAGATACTCTTTTATCTCTTACTAAAGTTATACGTAAAATTTTATAATATATACATTTGATAAAATACAGCAATCATCTTTCAACACTGCCATTTTAAGTAGATGGTTTTATTGTTCTTACATATAATAAGTCTAGGTTGTAGATACTAAAATAGATGGATAACAAACAACTATATTGAACAGTGTACCTAATATACATTCAATAGAACCGACATCCTAATATTACATAATAAAACTTAGAAAGTTACTACAGTTGTTTTCTTATTAGTGTCCTGTCGCTTTGGTGAGCAACCAAATATCCCCAATAATCTTTAGGTACCTACGTAACAATTACACAGTGTAAAGTCTAAGTTCATCGTGGTAAATATTGAAGACAAAATCCTGTCGTTATAACAAGTGAATACCAGTACAATTACATAACAACATAACCATTTCAAATAAATTCCTTCCATTATGAAATTGATTTAAAAATGACTACTACATCTCAATCATCTAGTTTTTAAAGATAATTTCATTTTTAACAAAATGCTATGAGATATAAAGTACTTTTGCTACGGTACGTGACGTATCTATAGTGCTACGCGGTTCTAGTGGTCTAGTGCTACGGATGCCGTGTGTCGTCTCCGGTCGTTACTACTCCTATTTTTTATAAACTAGCTGTTATACGCGACTTCGTCTACAAGGAATTTAAATTGTTTTTACAATTAAAATAAATAAAAGTAGCCTAAGTTACTTCTTATAACATTAGCAAGTGAAAGTCTCATTAAAATCAGTATAACTGTTTTAAAGAATAGCAAAAACAAACATCTTTTTATAATCTAGCTATATCCGTAATTTTGTTAATAATTTATAAAATAAATAACTCATTAAACTATGCAATAAAGTACATAACATAAAAATCCGTGAACACACGAATTATGTTTAGACTTTGTTATAACTTTTAAAGAATATGATTGAAGATCGTGGAAAGTGGCGGTTAAATAAATTATGAATGAGAGTTTGTACATAAAAAAATATTATTATTATAATGTACTGGTGTAATTCTTCTAGTTCTTCTTCTTGTTATTGGTTATTTTCATCTGTACTTTTACATTGTACTATTTTCTACAGAAATACTTTATGGTTATGTCATATACATATTTACATTTAGTAAACAGTAATCCAATATAACAAGTTTAAATGAGATTAATTCCAAAAGCATATTGACATCATCGTGTCAGTTAATTAGTGGAGGATAAACAGAAAGCCAGTCGAGTTCACTAAGCTTCAACGTAATTCATTTTAGTATTATGTACAGTTACCCACGTAGTTTCATTGAAAAATGTAAAATGTATGATGGTACGAAAGCTTCAAATCTCCATTTCAAATATTTTCGATCTTTAACTATACACGTATATAGGTACTAACCTTACTAAAAAAAGGAGTACCTAATACACTTTTTGAGTATAGTGTTTCTACGTGCATATTAAATCTTATGAATACAAACCCCATTTTTGTTAAGATATAATGAATTATACAAAATGTTTAGTGTTATAAACACTAATTCCGAACCGCGGAGATACGGTAATACTAATAAGATGGTCTAATACTGAATTATTGTTTCAGAGCCTTATACGAAAAAGAAGGTAATTGGACAGAGAGTGACTGTAGCGAGGCGCGTCGTAGCGGTGCGTTATGGGGTGGGCAGACTCGCGTGTGTCGCCGCCAGATTTCGGCGATGCCGCACGTAGCGGCTGCGGCGAGGCTGGCTCGTGCGGCCTGCCTCAATGCACACGCTGGCGACAGGTGGAACTGCTCCTCCATTGAGTTTGCACCAAAGTTCACGCCCGATTTGCTGACAGGTATTTTTTCTTATAAATACAAACAATTGCATTGAACGAGGTTAGCACCGCTACACCACTAACATTATGGTTAACACTTATAAGCCCATGGTCCTGCTACTTACAAATTTATGTCACGCAAAGAACATATATTTACCCGAAGTTTGTTGTAGTAATGGGTTCCGTTCTGTCTAGAGCGACTAGGACTTCCGACAGTAATGAAAGATAAGGGAAGGTAAGTTTGTCGTCGTTTTAAATCAAAGTGAAGGCATTATGTGGAAGCGGGCAGCGTGACGGTAGCGCGTAGCGCCCTTTCTTCAGCGTCAGCGGGCGGAGCGGACAGAGCGACGCGTTCCGCACCAACCGTTCTTTTTATTTACACGTCACATAGAATATTTATTGCTTCACGGACAATTAATTTTTAAATTACTCCATTGTTTTGTATATTTAAGTCTCAAGTTAATTAAATGCTCGTCTCCAATATGTTATATAAAGGTAGCACGTTATACTTAATATGTAATCCTGTTTTTAAGTATGACCGCATAATTATTTTAAATTATGTATTAAAATATTTATTTTTGTACAATGAAAAGTGAATAGAGTTCATATAACGAATTACAAATCCTGATTCCGAGTATAGCAAATTCAATGTTATTTATCTTTAATAATTTCAAACTCAACAATACTTATATTAGTAAATTTAATACATTTTTTCTGTAACAAACCTTTTCATAAACCTATTTTAATAAGCAGCAGCATTTTTAGCATTGTTACGTTTTTAACATTAAATCATAACAAACTTTACATATTTTGATGGTGACGATATTTTCAAGGAGTAATTATTTACTAAAATACTACGTACGTAACACCACAAATTAAATTATAAATATTACAGACAGGTTGGTTAACATGGCTTTACATATCTAAAATTACATTTACTATAATAACTTGATGCAATCTTATCATAGCATCTAACTTCCGACAATATGGAAATACAGCAAAAAGGCCATGTTCCATAATGACAACATTATCGATGCGTAAGGAAGAAAACGTTTAAATAACTAAAGTGGTCACGCGATCTTCGGAGCTGGTACGGAGAGGAAGCACGACCGACATGTCGTGAGCACTCACCACCGTGACGTGACCACCTGTGCGGCGCGCCAACTATTGATCGATTGATGATTGAAAAATTAACTACTGAAAATGCTACGGCGTAAGAAATGGCATGCAAATTATCCATTAGAAAATTTAACTACGCGATGTTTATATAGCTACCTGGGTATTTGTAATTCCTTTGATCAACTTCATCAGTGGCTATAAAGAATTCCGTGTTTTGAGAAAAAGTTTTGGCTACACCTCCATATTCATAGCTATGTATTCATAATTCTTTTGATAAAGTTCAACCGAGGCACTGCTATAAACAATTTATTGAATGTTCGCGAACCGCATTGCTGAAACTAAATGTTAATAAAATATTCGGGATTATATTGCTAGTTTATTGTTAGTTAGTACCATAATGGAAGGTTAAGCTAGGTTAAACAAAATCTAGTAGGTACTATGTCTAATGGGTCATTGTACTGCGCATTCTATCTTAACTTATATGTCTAGTTGACGGCGGTATATTAGACATATAATAATATAGTCGTTGTCATCGTTATTAGGTACCAAGCTGGTTAGGTAGTTTGGCATAGAATTTATTTTGAAATTTTCCTTCTTTGTACCGTTTCTTCCTTTAGTCATAGCTTGCGATAACCTTAGGATGAACTAAAATCCTGTGTATCTTCGTCCAATCTTGATATTGTGTCGACGCTATATTTATAAAAACTACTATTGCTACAGATACGAAATTTAGTACAATAAAGAAGTGAAACTACGAGATATGTTTTTATTATAATAAAACGTCCTAAATTTGAACGTCAATTATTTTAGGATTGCTATGATTCGAATACTCATAATTAAACATTTGTCTAAGTACTATAACAAAGCACCCCGTATGATTAATATAAAAAAATGTAATTTCTACTTTATGGATAAGTCCATACATTCATCCAATATCCATCTTATAGGTATTTCTATAAGTAAATCCTAAAGTTCAACACAAAGACGTCCTTGTTAGTGATCGGTTCACTAACGATGGTCCTTTGTAGATACAAATAATACTGAAATTCTATAATAAATGTAAGTATCTTCTCCACATTCAGACGTTCACTGTAAAAACTACTTATCTATCTAGGTACTCTAAAAGTTAGGAATAGAAACGAAGACAATGGTAAAGCTTTTTTTTATTGTAGTTTTAGTATCTATACTTAGCGTCATTGTGTGGCAATATATACTTGGCAACGAGTGGTGGGTGGCGGACGGCGTCGACTGGCAGCCGGATACGCGGCACAAAATACGGTGCATTGTTTTTGGTCACCACGTCGGCGAACGTCTACCCACTTTAGAAAATTAATTGACACGGAACGTTGTCGGCTACAAACAAAACCGTTAGGAATCTTCGAAGTGCTCCCGGCTTGATACATTTTAATTAAAAGTTTACGAAGCGGCGAATAACGTCTGCGGCTGTTGTGGTAATGAACGGAGAATAACTTTTCATTAAGACTCTGAAGTAGTCTAATTTTTACAAAGCACCACCCTTGTCTATAGACGATGTTATAAAACTTAATAGCTTCAATTACAGACTACTTCTGTAGTACCTGTTAGACAGGAAATTGTTTAATTGGTATTAAAAATGTACATACAATGCACATTTGACGAAACCTCTATAACAAGGCTCTATTTTTAACGATGTCATGACGCTTGTCCTGTAATTTCAGTGCATTATGTCATACATTATCGGAAAAACAGTGTACAAAGTGAACTGTTTGGTGTTGAAATAGGTGAGTTTTAACTAAAGTCTACCTCTGATCTTATTTAAATAAAGATATTTTTTTATGTATGTTACTAGTCATTAATCATGTAATTACTAAACAATAAATTACTTAAATATGTAATTATTGCAACAACATGTACCTATTATTAACAGGTTTTATTAAATAGATAGATACAGAGGTAGCGTTTGGTATTCGTACTATTTTTACATGAGGTATGTAGAATCATCATCATCATCTGCTTCTTCCTTATCCCATTTATTTGGGGTCGGCGTAATATGCTTTTCTCTTCCTTTCATCCCTGTTCGCAGTCATCTCTTATTTACTCCCTTTCTTGCCATATCTTTTACAGAGTACGTATATAACACCTTCCTTGAAATATATTTTCAATCCTAAGCATTACATGCTCATACTGTTCTTCCTCTCCGACACCGGCCCCACTTTCATACTTTTAATTTTAATGTTTTCATTCCTTATCTTATCCATTTTTGTTATACTACACATCCATCTTGTTAACTATCGTGTGACGCACCATTAATTAAAAATGGTAAAGTCAATAATCATGTAACCTGAAACGGAACGTCAGAGGCCAGAGCCAAAGTAATCTATGTGACATTGACAAGTGGATGACGGACGACTGAACGGAGGCAGCGGGAGTTTTGGAGCGAAAGTGTTGATATTATCATAAAAACAAATAAGAGATAGATAATTGTGAATATTGTAGGCATTGAGGTGTTTCTCTCCCTGACTAACCGGCATTACGCCTAAGTCGTCAGGATACTAGTGATTTTAAAAGTTCAGAAGCGGTACCAATCCCGCCTACAAATTCGACTGTAAGGTAATTCTGACTAGAAGTTGTGGTAAGTGAATTTACGTTAATAACACGCATACCATTAAACGCAGTTTCTCACTTGTTTTATTGAACTTTTGGATGAATTGCTTTCTACATATTAAATAGATTTAGTATGTACGATAACTTGCGAGAGTAATGACATGACATGTAGCACGATATTGAGGTATACAATATACCTAAGAAAGAAGTATTATGAATACATTAAGTATAGAACAACATGGCTATCTAATTAGTTTAAAATACAGAGTAACTATTGTTGTTATTAATGCCTATGATAGAGTATGATAGGATATCAACAGTTACATTAACTATGTTGACATACAGGTTGAACATGAGAACACATACCATGTTATACATACAAACAGTGTAATGGTATTGCTGAGTTGTTGCTAATTCACAGTAAATTAGTCAAACTTACTGTTCAGTTTTGTGTGTTTGTTCTACGTGAATTGAATTGAAGAATTGTTATTATTTCTTTACATAGGTACACATATATGTTTGATGATCCCATTTCAGATAAATGACAATCACAGGCATAGTCCAGGTATATGTCTTGATCACCATCAATATATTCTAGTTATATTCCCAAATTGAGACACTGTCATATGTATATATATTATATTGGTTGATACTTTGATATGTGTTTATTAATGAATTAATAAAGCATATTAATATAGATAGACACAGTATATTGTTGACATAAACTGATACCAGCAACATAACATGTTATATTTCATAATATTAGATATTAAAGACATTTTAGATGCTATCTCATGATTAGCTGTGAAGCTCTCAGTGAAAATAGTACTTAACTCTGATAGTACAATTATTATATTTATTTCTTGCTGTGTTTTGAATTTTATATATATAGCAATGGCTAACAATTGGTAGTAAACTCCAATGTTAAAAAACCGAATAACTGTAAACTATTATTATTAATAGTTCCTTATTTAATCATTATTTAGTATAAAATCCAATTGAGATCTATTAGGATCCTCAAGGTTATCATAATCATATGATATTGATTATTAATGTGTTGAAAAAGCACCTAGAAATGATATCCAATTCCTCAAAGGTGTCATATTATGCTGGAATTATATATTATATGTATGCTCAGATTGAATGTATTATATGTTTGAGCAATTGGTTCACTTCTTTGATGCTTCTCTTGAAATTCATTAGAATGGCCCTTAGCAGCCATTGTTGATCAATAAAGGTACTTAAAGGTCCTGTGCAGGTACCTGTAGCTATGTACATTTGTCATTTGAGACAATGTTTAGTAAGTGAGTGTTGGAATT